CGTTAATTAAAAAATGAACATTTAAGGGGGAGTGTTATGAAATTAATGATTGTTCATTTATTTAATTAATCAGCCCTACTTTCTAGAATAGTTGATTAAGATACTCATTGTAAATAATATTTTTTACAGTCCTTCCCACTTGTATTTGTATTCATTCTAAGTTTCTCTACTTTAAATAGAGGCTTAACATCCCTGCAAAGACACCATTAAGAATAAGAAGAAGAGTGAAGAATTAATAGAGAGAAGAAATCAGAAATATATTATATCTATTTTCTTAATCTCTGAGTAGTTTTTCTCTCATTTTATAATACATTCCAATTTGTGTATCTCGCCCTCAATTACTAACACTCTCTGAATTTTTATCATAGTTCCATTTAGCACGTCTCAGATGACTGAAGACTGACATTACAAATTAATATTGGTAAAGTGTTAATATTATACTCCCTCCGTCCCACTGTGTTTGTCCACTTACCTTTTGGCACATCATCCAATGCACTTCTTTAATCAATTTTATCTTGTAATTTGTATACTCCCTCCGTCCATAATTAAAGTTCTCACTTTCCTTTTTTGGATGTCCACAATTAAAGTTCTCATTTCTATTTTTGGCAACTTTTTATTATTAAAAAGACTCAATTACCCTTCTCTTTTACTTTTCCTCTCCTTTCCTCTCCTCTCCCTTTTTTCTTTCTTTTTTTTCCTTTTCCCGTTTACTCTTCCGATTCTTTCCTTCTCACTCTCTCTCTTTTTTCTTCTTCCCCTTCTCACTTTTTCTTACTTTTCTTTCTTCTTCTTAAGATTTTTCCTTTCTTGTTCTTTTTCCCCTTCTGAATTTTCCTTCATCATCTTCATCTTCTACGGATTCTTCTTCTTCTTCTTCTTCTTCTTCTTCTTCTTCCCCCTCTAGATCTGACCAGATTGCATCTAGATCTGACCAGATCTGACCACAATTAAAATAGAAAAGATTGCATTTAAATCTGACCGATTGCATCTCCTACCGATTGCATTTAAATCTGACCGATTGCATCTCCTACCGTTGCATCTGACCGAAATTAAAATGCAATCTTTTCGACAGCGAAGGGGCAGCGGCGGCGAGCTTTCGACGGCGAGGGGGCTGCGGCAGGGACTTTCGACAGAGAAGGGGCAGCTGCGGCGGCGGCTTTCAACGGCGAGGGGCGGCGGCGGTGAGCTTTCGACGGCGAGTGGCAGCGGCGGCGGTGGGGTGTAGTTGTCAGTGGGGGGGCTAAAAGCTTGAGGGGTATAATAGTAAAGTCAAACTAATTTTCATTCCACATAAATTTGCGTGCCGAGTCAAACTGGGAACATTAATTTTGGACGGAGGGAGTATTAAAAAATTATACAAATTATATATTAATAATCTATATGTTAAGACGAATCAAACAAGATCACACATGACTATTTTTAGGCTTACACATTAAGAGAATTTGATGAGTCAAAGTGCTTAGATAAATAGTTCCAAAAGTCAAATATGGACAAAAACAATGGGACAAAGGTAGTACTTAAAGTGTAAAACGAAAGTGCTACTGTTATCCTAGTATGCAGTATTTTTTATATAAATAATACTTTCTCTTTTCAAAAATGTTATGTACTTTGTGAAAATGAAATGCAATATTTAATCCCTTCAATTTATTTTATTTCAAAGATTTGACATAAAAATTAAAAAGTACTTGTAAAACTTATATAGTAGCAAGTTTTAACTTAAAATTGAACACTAGACAAAGAAAATTGATGAAAAATGAAAATATGTGTCCAAATACCATACTAGAAAATATGAAATAGTTATAGCATGATTAAATTGAAAAATAAGAGAAAAGAATTAATAATCTACATTAGTTATTATTACGTCGACATGGTCGCATATCCATGTTATTCGTGAAACACATGCTTAGCAGGTGACTCGTCTACGAAGGTTGTCCTTTTGTCGGTTGCACCAATTCATATCCAGGTTGTGGCCATTCCATTTCTGGTTTGATGGGTGTATTTACACCCCGACATGGTTGTGGTCTATTGAAAACCCATCTGAGTAGTTTTCTAGAGTGGCACGATTGTAAAGGAGACAAGAGAAATTGACCCGGTCAAGGTATCATGGAGTCTACTCGGGTGTGATTTCCATATGAACGGGTGAACCTAGTATGATTCAACAGACGACCGCCCTGAGCTTCTTGAAGTTTACACGGGTGAGGCTTAATGGGTGGCCTCGTTAGTGATGGGTGATATACATAGATTTTACCCGGGTAACTTTGGTCCAAAACCCTCCCAGGTGGATTCCAACCTTGTACGACAACAACAAACCTAGCGCTAGAATCTGCTTGTGTTTATCGGGAGTCTACCCATGTGATCCGTGAGTGCATGACCAAACAACATAGCACTACTAAACAAATCTTTGAGTGATCAGAAGGTTTCTTTAGGAAACCACCTGGGTGGATTTCCAGAACGCGGTGTACTAACATGAGAATGAACCAACATGATTGAACGGAGATGAGATAATTCGGGCAAGGCCCAAACAATGCGCACCAAAGCAGCTTGGGCGAATCTGTCCACAGTCCGGGTCGGGTCCAACCTAACCACTCGGGTGACTTGTGGGCGATGATCGAGTGGCATGGCAAGGTCAAATCATTGAACGACCAGATCGCATCCTCCAAGAAACCACCGGGTGCTGAGCGACCAGTGAGGTAGCTTATCATCGCGGAGGATTTTCAAGTGAGCAAGACAGCCCGTCGAGGAATCGACTAGCTTGTTGCATTATTCGGACTTGTACTGACTTGCACGTGATGATAGCCCAAAACGGTTGGATGGAAGCGGCTTGGGAGAGGCTAGGCTTGGCTAGATTCCTCTGCACCAACAGGCTTTCCTAGATATTCTCACCCAAGCACTATGCACCAAGAAGGACAGTCGCAGAGGAGGGCAGCCAGAGAAAAGGGACGAGCACTACAAGACAAGGAATGTCAGGTCATGTACTTCATCACGCGGCCAGGTGTTGGTGCCTGCCACCTACCCTGTCCCTTAGCTTCACTATAAATGGGCTTGTAACCCTCAATGGAAGGGATTCAAATTTCATCTCTCTAAAAGTGTATTGTGTAATATACCTCCATGTATTCTTCCCATACTTAATAACAATTGGACTACAGGTATTCCCACCTACAATCCTCCCAGTCAACCTTCATTGCCTGAGTCTTTTCTATATTTAAGCTCAGCAAACTACCTTAGATTGGTCTAGGGTAGTTTGCTTGGGTGGTAATTTACACCATGGTTGAAGTGACATTAAATTTCCAAAATAAACATTTGTGTATGATTGGATTGAGAAGGTCGACGGAATGGATTGATCTACTATCATTCGATTGTAATGACGTATTGGTATACATGATCACATGACATGTGAAACATAGTCCATTTCCCACATGCACACCACGAGTTGGCTAGACACATATAAACCGTCTCTTGGTTATTTATACCTTTGGTGATGCCCCCTACAATTAAACGATTAATACTTTCCTCGATATGAGGTGGTACAACATGACAATGCAATTGTGTACCTTCCATATGTCTTACTTCGCTCCAAACGTAATTTGGATATTTGTATACCGTCTATTGTCATGTGAACCCTTGTGTGTGCCTTTCCGCAAATAATTTGATTAATCTTTCGTTTGTGGTCTGAACAATAGCGTATATCGGTAGACTCTGACATCCCTTCATGACATGATTAAAGCTTTCTAAAATATTAGTTGTAAGAATTCTGTAATGTGCCTAACCATTGTAGGATGGTGCCCATCGGTAACGCCACTAACCAGTTGTATGCCTCAAGACACCGTGACGCTATTTCTTGTAGCGTCTTGTGGCACTCCTTAATATCTGGGTACTAGTAGCGTGGTACATTAGACCCTTAAGCTTCTTCTATTACATTTTTTTCTGGAAAATGTTCTTTTGGTGTCGCAGGCAATATCTCCGCGTCACTCGTTGTTCTAGTAACTAGGGCACTATCTTAAGTGTTACATCAATTTCACTATGTCTATTAGAAGTGATGCATACAGGCATCTCAACTAGTACCACATGACACATTAAATGTTTCATGAATTAAGGCCGACTATCCCCGTCCTCTACATCAAAAATCAAATAAGCTAAGGGAAAAATCTCGTGGTTGGCCGTCATTGCCACAAAATCTCGGATGGGAAGCAAGATTTCAACCCATCTATAGCTACCAAAAATTTCAAGAAAACATACACGAAGTCAAACTTGTCTTGAGAGATAATTGGCCGCATTTGTAGTTTCACGACCGTGCTAGGATTAGATTGTATTATAGCGCCATGTAGTGGAAGTACGTTACTATACGAGCTCTCTCATGACACATGAAGTCGTTGAATTGCATTCAACCTTGTGCACCATGCCTTTTTGTAGGAAGCGGTTACTTGGAACAAATCATACACATCTTTGATGAGGTATTTGATTGCATCCTCCATAATTTTTGAAATAATAATTCTAGTAATAAGCTCACTTGTAATGAGCTTGTCATCCCTCTCTTTGGTGTAGTCTATCTACACGAATGTTGCCCCTTGTATTGATTGATAGTACAGACCAAAAAATTATTAGCCTTAGCAGCTTAGATCATCCACGAGAATTGCTCAGCGTAGGAGCATTTTACCTTCCAATATTTGACATGTTTCACATGTGTGCAAAAGTGTCGGTGCTATGCTATGTTTCGACCATGCAAATTATTACTTCCCAAATTAGAAAAGTACATCATTTACAAATGTCGAACCATAAGAATGGTTCCATGCATATGAAAGAACAAAAACAACAACAAATCAATACAAGATATCTAAACATCATCTAAAACAAATGCACATAATGGTGGCGCGAAGGCCAAATAAACTAAACATGAATCAAGTCATACTCAACAGATGGATGCTCGAAGTCCAAAGCCTTGTTAAAACTAATTCCAATCTTCCAAGTTTCATGCATCACCAAGAGCAGCAGTATGGTAAGCCAAAAACAAGAGCATAGAGGGAGCATATGTTGAAGGCATTGACAACTCAACCAACACATACTCCCTCTCCAAGGACCAGGTACCAAAGTTCTTCCATAATCGTCAGACCAAAGTACTTCCAAACTCATCACAAAAAGGTTTCCCGAAGGCGCAAGCAACATCATCATCTCCTATGCACACAAACTCCTCAAATGGTGGGGTCTACCCATCGAGACCCATACCATTGAGTAATTACCCTCCCAAGGCAGGTTCTCTGTTATCCACAAAACCAGCAAGTTTACCATAAGTCTTGTACACAAGCATCATTCAAACAGCGGGTCAAGAACAGTAAGAATAGCATGGTTCACAAACAGCAGCTGGTTCAAAGTTCAATAATAGAAGCTAAAGAACGTTCCCTTGATTCTAGTAGCTTCCTTCATGTTACCAATGTTGTTGTACTCATGTACAATGGCCCTTCCCAGTCAGTTTGCTGTTTAGAAAGAATGGCAGTACCAAATGCAACAAGACAACCTTTCTCATCCTCATTACATTTCAAGAGACATCACACAAATAATCATCAAAGGACCAGTCAAAGCCAACACCAGTAATGAGATATCATCACAAAAACACTAACACTATGTTTGGTTCAAGGAATTTGAAAGGGAAAAGAAAAGAAAATGAATTGGAAAATCATTTTTCTTGTTTGGTTAGAGGGGAAAAGAAAGGAAAAGTGAAAGGAAAAGTCAAAATTCCTTCGATTTTGGTGAGGAAAATGAGAGAAAACCATTTTATTTTCTTTTCCTTCCAAAATCCTTGAGCCAAACATAGTGTAAGGAAACCCGCACAAACAGTAGGAAAAAGGAGCAGGGACCTGATGAACCAGAGGGCTCAAAATTGCATTGTGAACAGTGGCGACGAGCTTCATATCTTTCTCAATTCAATGCATTCTTCAACTGGAACGAAACTCAATTTAAGAATTAGAAGAAGCTTAGCAGGTCGCTCAATATCCCCAAAGGATTGGCCATAAGTTAAGCATGAACAGAATTGAATTTGGAATTCAAGTTCCCGCGATGAACAGTAAACTCGAGACCTTCATTCATTGATTCTGCACAATTCTTGCCAAAATCCATCAAATTGAAGTGAGAGGTGGACCCATCTGGTGAAGACGAATCCAAACATCCAAAATGCATGCTCCAATTTTGCAAGACGAAAGAGAAATTGCGCTAAAGAGTTCTCTATGAACAGTAACGATTGAGGCGTTGACCTTAAATCTCACACAAGTCCAGCAAAAAACTCAAACAAACAGATTCCACTTCTGAAGACGAATCTAGAGCTCCAAAATGAGCTACAAAGCAAGGAGGAAGTATCAGATTATGTTGGGCGTGAATAGTCTTGCGACTGTCCAGCGAAAACCTTGCTATGCTATGTTTCGAAGCGAAACCTCCAAACTTTGAATGCTAACCTATTGCTGACAGATTTTGATCTCAGGTACGGGAAACATTGATTCTAGTGATACGTGTTCAACGTTCCTATATATCTCAAAATCTTGAAAATCAGCGGGAGCATTTAGGTCCGGCAGCATGCTAGAGACTTCGCCAGAAACTGACGAGCCACTAGTGCTCTTTTCATCTTCAACAGAAACTTCTGTGTATGTTGGGTCATTGGGGTCACTCTCGTAGTCCCCTTGAGGCATGGTGTGTGACCACTCTGCTTCATCGTAGATTCATAGTGAAACAAGATTTGGTTCTCATCATGTTCTTCTCCGGCTTCCTCATAGACCTTAATTTGGTCATACTCCATTGAGGCCATTCTAAGGAAACCTCAAAGCTATCATTCGTTATTAAACCATCATTCGTTAGTGAGTCGGAAAAGATGGGAGGTGGCACACACTCCGGACTTATATCCGGACACTTTCCATACATGGCTTGAATTGCATTCAAGCCTTCATTTTAGAGAGCACTCAGAAGTTCTACTTTGACCTCTTCGTATGAGATATGAGGTTCAAAGAAATAACCTCTCTTCAGATTCAAAGAATATTGAACTTACTTCTTCTCTTCTCAATTTGAGACCGACCATCCCAATGAACGAGAAGAATAAGATTATTAATCTCAGACATTTTTTGTTAAATTACAACATAAGATTATTACTCTTAGCCACTCCAATCAAGTTGTAGTCTACTCACTCGATCCACCCCGTAAAACTCATACCCTCGTAAAATAGCAACACGCCCATGACCAAATAACACCAACCCCTCTTGTAAGCTTCCAAAATGCCTAACACATTTTAAAGCAACGTTTGCGTACTCTACATCATGCCAGACCCTCTCGCTTCTATGCTCACTGGGTTCTAGATTTAAAACGTCCCATACAATGGTCCCAGATGTACACTATTACCTTCAAAATTCATAGTTTTATAATAACAAGATCTTATGCCTGACAAATACACATTTATTAAGAATTTTATAATCTTAGAAGAATTTAAACATCAAATTCAAACAAAAAATACATATAACATGAAACAAAATATGAAATCACATAAATACATAAGAAACATAAAACAAAAATATGAAATTAAACTTGAATAACATTTTTTCAAATGAATATATAAAGAATATAAAGTTTGGAGTGAAATCAAACCTGGAAAACGGCAGTATTGCTTGCGTCTTGAACGCTGGTCTCTGGTTAGGCTGCCAAGCCTGCTTCTTCCTCTTCTCTCAACTAGCGTTCTCTCCTACCTTAAATTTTTTTGGGATGGGGGAAGGGAAACACGGTGACAGGGTTTTGGTTAGGGAGGTGGATGGGAAGCCTTCGGATTTTTTGGAGATGGGGGAATCAAGACACAGGGTTTTGGTTGTGGAGATGGATGGCAATAAAGCATTTAAGCAAGACAGTAGTAACACCTCTGTCTTGTTATCTGTAGACCCAGAGTTTTTTGGTGACATTTTTTTCTTTTTCCAATTTTTTTAAATACAAAACTGAGGTATGGGGACTTTATTCTGGCAGACACTGATCGGAATACCTTTTTGGTTTCCTACATATATTGGTAGTTAATTCGGTTTTTTGTAGCAAGCGTATTGTGGCCGGGGTCTTCTCCCAATATATGCAAAAAAAAGCATTCCAATTTGTGTAACTCACACTGCAATTGCTGACAAACTCTGGATTTTGTCAAGACAGAACTAGTAGTTCCGTTAAGTAGGTCTGGAGTCTTGATATCGATAAAGTCTTGATATTTTATTTAAAGTGCAAAATGGAAGTGGTACTGATGTCATGGTATGCAATTTTGTATAAACAATACTTCTTATTTCTCAAAATGTTTTACACTTTGCATAAATAAAACACAATGTTTAGTCCCTTCAATTTATTTTATTTCGAAAATTTGACATAAATATAAAAAATTGAAACTTACATATTTAAGTAAGATCTTTTGAGATGGATGAGAAGAGCAAGTTTGAACTTAAAATTAAATAGTACACAAAGAAAATTGATGTAAAATGAAAATATGTGGTCAAACAACATATTAGAAAATATGAAATAGCTATGACATGATTAAACAGGAAAAATAAGAGCAAAAAACCTAATAGTTTAAATTAGTTATTACTACGTCGATGTGGTTGCATATCCATGTTATTCGTGAAACGCGTGCTTATCAGGTGACCTGTCTCCGAATGATTTCCTCTTTGTTAATTGCACTAGTTTATATCTAGGATGTTGTCATTCCATTTCTAGTTGAAGTGGCATTAGATTTCTAAAATACACATTTATGTATGGTTGAATTGAGAAGCTCGACGGAATGAATTGATGTACCATCATTCTATTGTAGTGACATATTGCGTATACATGGTCACATCGCATGTGAAACGTAGTCCATTTCCCACATTGACACCAGCTAGCTAGATACATAGAAAATATCTCTTGGTTACTTATGCCTTTGGTGATACCCCTATAATTACACGATAAGTACCTTCCTCGTCATCATATCGTACAACAAGACAATGGAATCGTGTATCTTCCATACGCCTTACTTCATTCCAAATGTGCCTTAGATATTTGTATCCCATTTGTTGCCATGTGAACACGTGTGTGTGTCTCTGCAAACAGTCTGACTAATCTTTCATACGTGGTCTGAACAATAGCGTATATTGGTAGACTCCGACATCCCTTCATGATCGGTAGACTACAACAAAAAAACATAAATTTTATTATTACTACACTTACGACTATATGTGGAAATGTTTGTGGTTTAGTGTTCATACCTCCTCCTTTAACGACGTGTCTAGCTGATCCCTATAAGCACGAAGGGTATGCACACAAGACTCTATCCAACAATGGTAACATGCCCACCTACAATTCAAACACATTACCAATTTTAAGTAAAAATTAATATGTACATCGAGAAAAAATTTTGATCGTAAAATTAACTAGCTCCAAAGGGGGTGTCACCAAGGTCTTGTAACGGAAGTATGCCGGTAGGTTGACTCATAGGGATACACTCTCAAGCCCATTTGTAGTAAAGTGAGGCAGCCTCCAATCTATGTTGTGTCTACCATACATGCACAACACATGTTGCGGTAAAGGATAAGTAATACGGCTACACCAATAGTATGGCTACACACCTTTTGTGTAGTTCCAACAAGCAACTCAAAAAAGTACACATAGCTAGCATATCGTTACCGGTGGTACGGCCTACCGTTCTGGTGGTATTTAAGTACTGTCCAGGCGGTAGTTCGATACCGTGTCTGCGTCAGTTTTGAACAATGTCATCATTAACCTCGAGCTAATTTTTGAAAAGTTCATTTTTAGTCATCAAACTTTAGTTAAACTATATAGAAATGTTCTCCAAAGTTCATAGATCGTTTTGGTATCATTAGTTCGGAGTTTTAACAACAATTTCAAAGTTTATGATTATTGGTTCTTCCAGCATTTCAAACACAAAACTCAACCAAACGATTGTTTATGAATGTAGGAACAATCAATATGAACATTCTAATCACAAGATATATCTAAGGGCTTACATCGGGCTTAAACAAAGATTTTTGAAATTTTCCAGCAAAACTTCCAACGAAGCTTATGACTTACTTCAGCGACCTCAAGCTCTCCGAGCAGCATTACTGCACTCTCCACACTCAGAACAACCTCTCAAAACAAATTTGAAGGGAAATGGTGAAGAAATGGGAGAGAAGGGTCTCCCTTATTTAGGGATAAGGAGGAAGAAGAAGCCAATGAAGAATCCTTCCTGCGTCATTGCGGTCGGCTGAGTGGAGCAAGCGGCGCCATTTGAAGATTTACACGTCTTCTCTTGATTGGGACTAATTTGGTCCCAGTCAGGGCACACTTTCTGGTCCAACTTTCTTCGAATTAAAATATGATTGTACCGTTTGATCAAACAATCAAATTCTACACAATGGTATAATTTTTCAAAAGTAATTAACAAACTTTATAAATCACCTATTTTTGGATCTTTCTCAGTAATTAATTAATTATTAATTCTAATAGACCTATTTTTAGGGTGTTACACCCGAGACCCATTCATTCCATCTTTCCTTTGGAGAGGTGGGAATTACTTTGCAAGATGTAGATGTTTTGCTTGGAGTGAAGATGTACTATCCAGATCAATTTTGTAGTCAATTTGGTGCCCTCCAACACGTCCCTCAAGATGTTGTCTATGATCAACATGATCAACATCTGCACCACATTAAGTTGAATATTATGTAGATTGGTGATGGTTAGAGACAGTATTTAATAGAGGTATGGGAGGGATATTATGCTGCTACTGTGCCGATGGATTTTGGGATGATGGATGCCACACCCGAGTATCGTCAATGGTATTACCTTCGAGGTCGACGATAGATAGAAAACTCCGCACATCAGCACGGACCAGGGTACATCCCCCATTTCTCCCGAGCTACAGACCACAGTAATAAGTATTCATAAAATTCATAATTTTAAATCATACATGTTAGAATAATAGACCAACGCTACAAGGGGGGGGGGGGTGAATAGCGTTTGATCGAGAAATCGCAGGAATTAAAAATAAATAAAAGAGAAGTGAAGAGAAAAGTAAGAGGCACACCGATTTTACCCTGGTTCACCACAACTTGTGGCTAATCCAACCTCCCGAGAGACTCTCTCGAGCTACACTACTATCTCGTTAAGCTTAACGGTGCTTAACAAACCCGTACAACCTGAGAGTTCGAGTCACACGAACCTCAACGAACCTTCGAAGGAAACAACCCTTCCTTCGAACAGCAAGAGAAGTATTTTGTCTTATCAAGTGTCTAAGAACACTAAATCACTCAAGAACTATACTCTCTTTTAGAGTGGATAATGAGTAACTAAGAACGCTTAAGAACACAACACAAGCTTCACAAAAATGACTCTCAAAAAACTATGAATAAAGGATGAATGATTTGCAATGAAAGAGTAGGAGTTGTGAAAAAATGTTATGTGTAAAACAGACCCAAACACCCCATTTTATAGTGGAAAAGTAGGCTCCAACGGATCAAAGCATTTAAGGGGTGATTGGCACAATTTGTGGGATTTGATTAAATTTGGATCTGCTGAAATTCAGACAGCGCTGTCCTAGGCTTGGACATCGCTGTTCTAGGCTTGGGTTTTGAAAATTGGGAAGCAACGGTCATGCCAACAGCGAAGTCCAATACCCCTACATCGTTGTTTTGGATGTTGACTTCCAAACAAGGAAAGTTTTAACCTTAAATTCCTTCCAACGTTCAGGTGCCTACATCGATGTTCATTGCTTGAACATCGCTGTTTAGGCCTGACTTTGAAAGTGAAAGAAATGGCCTGACATCGCTGTTGCTGGGTCAACAGCGCTGTCCAAAAACTTTCTGCCAATGTGTTTGTTTTTGGCTTAGGTTGGACAACGATGTAGGGTAGGCTACATCGCTGTTCCAGATGTTTCTGGAAACCCAACCTTGGCTCAACAGCGATCTAACATCAACATCGTTGTTGGAAGACTTAACGCCAAACCATGGTTTTCAGCTTCCCATGCCAGACAACGCTGTTGGTTTCACCAACATTGCTGTTGGGCTGGTTTAGCCAGACCCATGGTTGGTTTAGTCATGCCGTTAGCCGATGTCAAAAATGTAAGTTCTCCAAAATAAAAACCAAGTATTGAAAATGTTTGTTTAAATGATTTTGCTAAGAAATCAAGTAAAGCATCTTAAAAACCACGTCATTTAATTGAAAACCACGAATAGCCAAGTTTACACCGTTTCGCATGGTTTTCACTAAACGACCAAAAACGAAAGGTGGTTTTTGAAGCATTTTTGTTGGAGAACTATTTAAATATGCCCAGAAGTAAAAACCAATCATTAAGATGTTTCCCCTTAGTGTATGCATAACCCGTTTCTTCCCCCTTTTGACATTAACAAAAAGATAAAAGATTACTTTTATTTATTGAAGATGGGAAATAGCGGAGTACAACGGAAGCATTAAAAAAAAACAGGACAATAATAAAAAGAGATAGAATTTCTAGGGGTGTCCTAGTCTTCGTCTTCGGTTTCCTCCTCCTCGTCGTCGACGTCCATCTCATCCCCATCGATGGCATCGTCGAACTCATCTTCGTCCGGGGAGCTTGACAGGGCGTAGGAAGCATCGTCTTCGTCCTCGTCACCGTACACTTGCCCGAAAAACGTGCCATGGTACGGTGGGGGGACGTAGTTAACGCGTTGGAAGTACGCGTTCATGGCGTACCCTTGGCGTTGGACTGCCTCGTCGAGCCTCTCAAGGTAGCCATCCATCCCATCAACTTTGAAGTGAAGGCGGCTTAGGGAGTCGGCGATGGAGGCGAGGTTGGCCCGGGCATGGGGTTCGGCTGGGCAAGCGGCAGAGGCAGTGCGGCGGGCGCGGCAGTGGCAAGCGCGGCGTTGTCCGACTTCTTGGTGAAGGTTTGGGCGCTGATCGTCCAAAGCTTCGTGGCCTTTGTGAGCAGGCCAACAGTGGTGGTTACCTTGAACCGTTCAAGGATGTCCATCACCACGAACGAGTACGGGAGGAGGTGATCGTGGTCGGTGGACGCGGCGACCGACATGTTGATCATGACAAACTTTACCCAATTGATCGGGGCCGTGTGCATGATCGCGTGGAGAAGCTTGAGGTTCTCACCGGACATGATCGTGTGCCCATGCTTCTGGGGCTTGATGATTCGGGACACGATGTAGAGAAGGAGCCGGCTCTCGGGGTTTGTGGAGTGGATGGTGGGGGGGCTCGAGGCATGGCAGATGAGCTCGGTGATGCCAAGCTCGTTGAGGATAAGGCCCTCGTTGTTGAGCACCCAGTCCTCTCCGCCATAGTGGGAAACATCGCCACCTTAGTAGGGGAGGCCGGCGATGCGCCCAGGCTGCTCAACGGAAAGCTCAATCAGCGTGCTCTTGACAAGAAAGTAGAGCACGTCGTCCTCACACCGGAGGTTGGAGTAGAAGGCCCGGATCATCGCCGGGTTGATCTCCTTCTGAGCCCGGGAGACGAACAGCCAAAGGTCGGCTTAGTGAAGCTGCGCGTCTAGATCGTCGTAGCCCTGCAACTTTGGGAAGCGCTCCGGAACAATCCGCGGTGGAGCCACAACCCGTTTAGAGAAGAAGGTGAGGAAACGGGTGCGCTCCTCCTCGGAATTGAACCAGAGATATGATCCGTCGCCGTAGTAAAGGCGCTCCTCGGAGTTTGTTGACGGTGCTCGGGATTTGGACTTGGATTTCCCGGAGGGGGCAGCCCTGCTCTTGTCTTTGCCCATGGTGAAGAGATCTCAAAAGAGAAGAGTAGAGAAGATGAAATATGCAAAGATGTTGAAGGAGATTGTGTGTTGGATTATGAAATCCATGGGTAGAAGAAAGGAGGAAATGTAGAGAGGAAGAAGATGATGAATAGTACAATGTAGCCCCCCTTTCTCCACCTCCTCCTCCTTCTTCCTAGAAGAGGGGTATAAATAGGAAGAGTTAGGGTTAGGGTTTGAGCATACATACAAACTAATGGGCCGGCCCAACAGACTGGGCCGCCCCTAAAAAGTAATTAATACACGATAAACGGGCTTGTCCAACACACTGGACCGCCCCGACCAATATTATACAAAGACTGGATACCCCGTGTCCAGGGTATCCATCATGAGTCCCCAACTTCCCGAGCCGAGAGGAACTCGAGGCGAAGTGGAAGTAAACAATAATCCACCACTGAAGGGCACCGTCTTCCTTGCGTCTGGAGTGCACCGCCAACTCGCTATCCCGAGCACGGTGAAGTAAGGCAAGCAACGCCATCAGGTCAGAAACGTAATGCCAATTCGCTGTTCGGAATGGCAAAAAGAAACACATACTCTGCTCATTGTTTTGAAATGATTTGCTCTCGTACAAAGTACATCTTTGGTTCGCTGTTCAAAGGGCAACAATCACCATAAGGGTGGATGAATAAGTCGTCATCCTTCCACCATCCCGTCAATGTGTGACCCACTCCACGGGGGATGCCTCATTAAAAACTTGCCGAGGAAAAAACCCATGAGGATGGGAAAAAATCCTCAGTCAAGAAAAGAGTACATCTCGTCCCACAGAGTAGATCAAGAAAACATTGCTAGGGTGTGAAATCTTCTGTGTGAATCTCAAAAGAGGTGATCTTCAAGTCTCCCGGACTCGTTGTCTGGAGTCGAGGGCTCTCGTGATGTGAGATGTAACAATCACAAGCCGAGCACCCGGAGTCCCCCACTCCCAAAGCCGAAGAAGAATTTCGAGGTGAAGGGGAGTAGTGTCAATGCTCGGCGCCGGTGAGAGTCTCTGGCTTCCTCATGAGATGGCCGAGGCCGAGCTCGAGTTGATGAGGTCGAGCTCGAGTGGATGAAGCCGAGCTCGAGTTGATGAGGCCGAGCTCGAGTGGATGAGGCCGAGCTCGCGTTGATGAGGCTGAGCTCGCGTGGATGAGGCCAAGCTCGAGTGCCTCACGAGGTGGTCGAGGTCGAGCTCAAGTGCCTCACGCGGTGCCTAAGGCTGAGCCTAGCCTTCTCATCCTTCAAACCTGCAAAATAAGTTCAAAAAAGAACACAAGGCGCTCGCGGGCTCGGATGAACCGATCACCACGCGACCGAGAAAAGTAAGTCAATGTACGAGTCAAGTCCAAAGTTTTGGACAAAAGATAGGCTTTATCAGCGAAGTGCGCCGATCGTGTAGTAGTCTGGTCTTGAACAAACCTTGACGTCATCCTTAGTGAGACCGGGGTCTTCAAATGAGAGCTGCTCGGGTAAGTGAGATAGGCACAAAGGATGCACCCCTCGCCTTAGATCCGAGAGCAAATAGTTCACGTCGTGGAAGACGGATATATAGGAGTGCGTCAAGATGGACGGCTTACCTCGGCCTCGCGAATAGTATCGTCGCGGACGATTTGGAGTGCCTCGCGGGGAGGGCTTACCTCAGCCTCGTAGAAGAGGAAACAAAATCACGTCGTGGGAGACGGATGAGAGTGCGTCGCGGTGGACGGCTTACCTCGGCCTCGTGGAAGAGGGAATGAGATCGCGTCGTGGAAGACGGATAGGAGTGCGTCGAGATGGACGGCTTACCTCGGCCTCGCGATAACATCATCGCGGACGATCTTCAGCACCTCGTACAGAGGTTTTACCCGGCCTCGCTAAGGAATGACTAAATGAGTTGGATCTGAGCCATGCTCTGAGGCAGGTCGCTGGCCTGTGTGGAGTGTGAGATTGAGCCCTGGACTCGTCCCACATAAGGGCTTAAAGTGTTGAAGACAAAGTATAATACCATCGTCCAGGTGAGGTCTGATCACACGTGGTAGACAAGGTAATGGTAATAATAATGGAGTAAATGATAGGAATTACCATATTGATAATATGGTATAAATAATAATAATAATAATAATAAAATACGGAGTAGTTAAAATGATAGTGTGGGAATACTTATCTTTTGGGAAAGGGACCCACATGTGAATAACTCGGTAATAAACCCATGCCCAGCTTTTCCTCCTTTATAGGCTGGAAAGAGGACATCCGTCTCTGGTGATGGGTAATGCCCAGCTTTTTCTCCTTTACAGGCTGGAAAGAAGACATCCATCCCTGTTATGACGTGGAGCAGTGCTGCTGGGTTTTGCCGGTGTTGGTAGCCACGACAGAGGACGGCTCGACGGAACAAAGGAGTGAACGGTGGCCGGTGTTGGGGTCGGGCAACCAGGTATACTCCATCCGTCTAAAGGCTGGACTCCAATTGAAGATTATCGGACAACGACCCAAAGAAGACGCCGACCATTTGAGAGGGCGCCGTCGGTGGCGACGGAGCTGGAGCTATTACGCCGTGGCTGGAGCTCGGTTCGTCCGTCTCCTTCCTCAATCTGGCACGCCACGGCCCCAAATTCAAGTGGTTTCTCCTAGATCTAAAATTGAGGCTTCCGGCAAAAGTGGGAGTAACTGAAGGGGTCTGTGGTGGCGGCGACTAAGCAGCAGCAGTTGGTGGCGAGACTGAGCGACAGTTGCGACTGTCCATCGCGGTCCTGGGGACCGAGCGACTAAAATTGCCGGAAAAATCGGCGCTGCATCCGGCACTTTAGAAAAAATGACCGAATTGCAGCAGCACTGGGATGAATCTGAATTTCGGCCATGCTTCTTCTCCACAGAGAAAAGTGAATTCCCCATTGCGCAGAGAAGAAACCTGCCGTCTCCACCCCTTTTTTCTTGGTAAATCTGAAAAAATGATGTTCGAATCAAAAGAAAAATTTTGAGAGCACGCTTGATGTGTTCAACACTCTCAACGCGAGCACCAATGTTGGATTATGAAATCCATGGGTAGAAGAAAGGAGGAAATGTAGAGAGGAAGAAGATGATGAATAGTACAATGTAGCCCCCCTTTCTCCACCTCCTCCTCCTTCTTCCTAGAAGAGGGGTATAAATAGGGAGAGTTAGGGTTGGGGTTTGAGCATACATACAAACTAATGGGCCGGCCCAACAGACTGGGCCGCCCCTAAAAAGTAATTAACACACGATAAACGGGCTTGTCCAACAGACTGGACCGCCCCGACCAATATTATACAAAGACTGGATACCCGTGTCCAAGGTATCCATCATTGTGTTTGTGTGTGTAAAAGTGAAGAGATGGGGACAAAGCTGTTGTACCCTTGTACAGCGCTGTTCTGCGTTGAGTTTTAAAAACCAGGTGTCAAATGGACAGCAATGTTGGGTATCCTACAGCGATGTTCCAAAAGATTCTGAAAATGTGTAAGGGCTTGCACCCATTAGAACAGCGTTGTTGGGTTTCCCTACATCGCTGTTTTACGATAGGGAAAAAATTTGTAAAAACGCGCAGCGATGTTAGATGGGTGAACATCGCTGTTGAAAAGTTTTCTGGGTTTGCTTGAAAAACATGGTGTTTAGGGAGACAGCGAAGTTAAAAAAATTACAACGCTGTTGGAAAAGATTTTGGAAAGCAAAGGTAAAGGGACTCCCTGGGACAGCGATGTTGAGGTCCTGTACATCGCTGTTAACTAAAGCTTGTTGACGGTGTTTCCCTCAACAGCGTTGTTGGCCCCGCGCTGTTGGCTCTCCTGGACAGCGCTGTTTGCATGGTTCCCCCTGATTCCATGAACAGGGTACCTTTCTCGTCTTTGTCAAGATGGTCAGACGTGCTCATCGGGGTCGCCATGGCTTTGGCGTTGTCCATTTCAAATCGTTTTAAAAGCTCCTTGCAATATTTGGCTTGGCAAATGAACGTGCCATCTTTCATTTGCTTGACTTGGAGTCCCAAAAAGAATGTGAGCTCGCCCATCATTGACATTTCGAATTCACTTGTCATTAATGTTGAGAATTCCTTGCACAAAGACTCGTTAGTAGCACCGAATATAATATCGTCTACATAAACTTGAACTAAAAGGATGTTATTGTTTTTACTCTTGATAACAAGTGTAGTGTCAACCTTTCCCCTTTGGAAACCACTGTCCAAAAGAAATTTACTCAAACGTTCGTACCAAGCACGGGGTGCTTGTTTAAGACCGTAGAGCGCTTTCTTGAGTTTGAAGACGTGATCGGGATACTCAAAGTCTTCAAACCCCGGGGGCTGGTCAACGTACACTTCCTCTTGAATAAAGCCATTGAGGAAGGCACTCTTAACATCCATTTGATAAAGTGTAAAATCCATACACGAAGCAAAAGCAAGAAGTAAACGAAGAGCTTCTAAACGTGCTACGGGTGCATAAGTTTCTTCGAAATCAATGCCTTCTTCTTGATTGTAGCCTTTAGCTACGAGCCTAGCTTTGTTTCTAGTGATTATTCCACTTTCATCAAGTTTGTTACGGAACACCCATTTAGTACCAGTAATCGTACGATCATCGGGCCTTGGCACCAATTCCCAAATGTCATTTTGTTTGAATTGGTTTAGCTCCTCTAGCATAGCCAAGGTCCAATGTTCATCGTTTATTTCTTCGGAAATAGTTGTAGGTTCAAATTGAGAAACAAAAGCCATGTGTCCTACGGTGTCCCGAAGTGAGTTACGAGTACTTACCCCGCGGTTGATGCTGCCGATTACCTGGTCAAGTGGATGGTTCTTGTTCGTTCTCCAAGCGATGGGAAGCTCGGCTTCCTCTTGTTCCTGGGCTTCCTCGTGTTCTTCTTCGTCCGCTTGACCCTCATTTTCGACCATCACTTGAGGTGTTTCCTCAGGTTGTGGTTGCGGGTTGGTGTATAATGGCGTGTCTTCCTCATCGTCTTCAATGTGTATTCTTTCAAGTGTATTTGCAAGATCATCACAAATAGCCTTTCTCGCCAAGCGAGTATTATCTTCGGAAAACACAACATGAGGGGACTCCTCAATAGTTAAGGTGCGTTTATTAAACACTCTATTGTTAGGAATCAGAGATCAGAGGCGGTCAAGCGGAAGCGAACAAACACACACACACAAATAGCAGAAAATAAGAACACGAGATTTAACGTGGTTCGGTCAGTAACCTCCACGGGTTGCAGCTAGGGTTTATCTTTTATTAGGTGCTCACAGATTATAGTTACATGATTGGGTATTTATAAGATATAAACTAGGGTTAACAACTTGCTAAACAAGAAACAACTAATGGGCCCTTTAATTAATAACTAAAACCGGCCCCCCATGTTTCTTCCCTTTAGCCGACCAGGCTTAAAGCCCACAGCTCTAAAGCCTTCACCGAATAACCCAACA